TGTTACAGTTGATGAGCCTATCTTGATAATGTCCTTCCACCCCAAGTTCACACTTTACATTAGAGTTCACTCTTGGAGTTTTACATTCTCTTGAGTTTTGACAAAAATATAATGGCATATAACCACCATTATAGTACCATACAGAATAATTTGATACTGAAAATCGTTTTCCCAAAAATTCCTCTGTGCTCTGCCTATTCATACTTCCCTCACCCTTAATTCCTGCAAACCACTAATCCTTTTATTCTTTGCCTTTTACATAATCATAGCTTTGTCCTCTACAGAATATCATATAGTTAGAATTATACCATATGTAGCCTTTACAGATTGGCTTTTTTCACCTCGCAATATGCATTTAAGATTCCTCCATGTCTTGTCTTGGTTTGATAGCTCACTTCTTTCAGTGATGAATAACATTGAATTGTCTGTACCACAGTTTATCCATTCACCTACTGAAGGGCATCTTAATTGCTTCCAAGTTTGGTCAAATATGAGTAATATAAACATCCATGTGCAGATTTTTGTGTGGACATTAGTTTTCAATTCCTTTGGGTAAATCCCAAAGAGCACAATTGTTGGATAGATATGTTAAGAGTATAGTTAGCTGCCTGCCAAAGTGGCTATACCATTTTACATTTCAGCAGCAGTGAATGAGAGTTTCTGTTGCTCCACATCCTCATCAACATTTGGTGTTGTCAGTGTTTTGGGTTTTGGCTATTCTAATGGGTGTAGAGTCAAATCTGGTTGTTTTAATTTGCAATTCCCTAATGTCATACTGTTGAGCATCTTTTCACATGCCAATTGCCCATCTGTGTATCTTCTCTGGTGAGGTTTCCAGGTTCTTTGCCCATTTTTTTTTTTTTTTAATTTTTTTTTTTTTTTTAATGTTTTATTTCTAGGAGAGAGAGAGAGACAGCGTGAGCAGGGGAGGGTCAGAGAGAGAGGGAGTCACAGATTGAAACAGGCTCCAGGCTCTGAGCCGGCAGTCAGCACAGAGCCCGACACGGGGCTCGAACCCACGAACCGCGAGATCATGACCTAAGTGAAAGTCGGACGCTTAACCGACTAAGCCACCCAGGCGCCCCATCTTTGCCCATTTTTTAATTGGGTTTTCTTGCAGTAGCATTCTTAGAATTCTTTCTGTATTTTGGATAACAGTTCTTTATCAGATGTTCTTTCCAAATATTTTCTCCTCCCAATCTGTTTCTCATTTCTCATTCTCTTGACAGAGCAGTTTTTAATTTTAATGAAGTCCAGTTTCTCAGTTATTTTGTGTGTATCATGCCTTTGGTGGAGTATCTAAAAAGTATTTACTATATCTAGCATCTTATATATTCTTGGAGAATTGACGCTTTTATTATTATGGAATGCCTCTCTTTCCTTGGGTAACTTTCCTTGCTCTGAGGTCTGTTTTGTCTGAAATTAATATAGTTATTCCAGCTAGCTTTTGATTAGTGTTAGCATGGTATATCTTTTTATCCATTTACTTTTAATCTGTATTTGTCTTTATAGTTAAATGGGTTTCTTGTTGACAATGTGGGTCTTATATTTCAATTTGCTCTTTAAAAAATTTTTTTTAATGTTTTATTTATTTCTGAGAGAGAGACAATGTGAGCAGGGGAGGGTCAGAGAGAGAGGGAGACACAGAATCTGAAGCAGGCCCCAGGCTCTGAGGTAGCTGTCAGCACAGAGCCCGTCGCGACTCTGGACTCAAACCCACAAACCTTGAGATTGTGAGCTGAGCCGAAGTCAGACGCTTAACTGACTGAGCCACCCAGGCGCCCCTCAATTTACTCTTGATAGTCTCTTTTAATTGGTATATTTTGATTATTGATATTGAAAGTGATTACTGATATTGTTGGATTAAGATTTACCATAGTTGTTACTGTTTTTTATTTATTGACAATTGTTCTTTGTTCCTGTTTTGTTCTCTCAGTCTTTTCTTGCCATTTGTGGTTTTAATTGGACCTTTCATATGCTTCTACCTTTCCCTTCTTTCTTAGCCTTCGATTGTACTTCTTCTTTTACTTTTTTTAGTGGTTGCCCTGAGTTTGCAATATACACTTAGAACTACTCTAAATCCACTGTCAAATTATACTCTACAGCTTTACATGTAGTATAAATATCTTACAATACAGTAGACCCACCTTATTTGAGGTTTCGGTTACCCATGGTTAACCAAAGTCTGGAAGCAGATGATCCTCTTCTGAAGTATTGTCAGAAGGTCAGTAATAGTCTAATGCTAAGTAGGGTCACAATGTCTATGTCATTTACTTCACTTCATCTCATCCTATAGATATTTTACCACCTACAATATCATCATAAGGGTGAGTACAGTACAATAAGATATTTTGAGGGAGAGAGAGACCACACTCATATGACTTTTATTATAGTAGGTTGTTATAATCTGTTTTATTGTTATTATTAACCTCTTACTGTGCATAACTTATAAATTAAACTTTATCATAGGTATGTATGTATAGGAAAAGATGTAGTATATAAAAGGTTTGATACTGGGACACCTGGGTGGCTCAGTCAGTTAAACGTCTGACTTCGGCTCAGGTCATGATCTCACGGTTCATTGGTTCGAGCCCCGTGTCAGGCTCTGTTCTCACAGCTAGCTCAGAGCCTGGAGCCTGGTTTGGATTCAGTGTCTCCCTCTCTCTCTGACCTTCCCCTGTTCATGCTCTCTCTCTGTCTTAGAAATAAAACCTAAAAAAAAGTTAAAAATAAATATAAAAGGTTTGATACTCTCCATGGCTTCAGGTGTCTACTGGGGGTCTTGGAACACATGCTCCCTGTTAAAGGGGGACTACTATAACAAAATACTGCTGATGTCTTCCTCCTGTCTCTTCTTCTCTATATCATTCCTATCATTCATTTTACTACATATTAGCCTACATAAGCATGCAATGCATGTGTGTGTGTGTACATACATGTATATACACACACATACAGACACACAGGCATCCATAATCCAACACATTGTTGGAATTGTTTTCAACAAGCTTATCTGTTAGATCAGTTAATAAAAAATAAAAGCACTTATTCCTTCTCTAATGTTCTTTATGCACATCCAAGTTTCTAAGCTATATAGTTTTCCTTGTCTCTAAAGAACTTTTTATTAATATTACTTTTAGTAAAAGAATCCCTCAGTTTTTGTTGGTCTGAAAAAATATCTTTTTTCTTTATATTTGATAGATAATTTTAGAGTATATAGAATTCTCGGTTGGCAAGTGTTTCCCCTCAACATTTTAAATATTTCATTATACTTTCTTCATGCTTATATGGTTTTTGAGGAGAATTTGGATGTAATTCTTATCTTTGCTTCTCTACAAATAAGCTTTTTTCTCCTCTGGCTTCTATCAAGATTTTTTTTAAAGCTTTTATGTTTTGCAGTTTGAATATGACATGCCTTAATGAGTTTTTTTGTTTTTGTTTTTTGTAGGGGGTGGTATTTATCCTCATAGGTGTTCTCTGAGCTTCCTGGTTTTGTGGGGCTTGTTTCCTGTGTTAACATGAAGGAAATTCTGTCATTATTGCTTCAGATGTTTCTTTTTTTTTGAGAGAGTGCAAGTGAGCAAGGGGCAGAGGGAGAATCCCAGAAGATGCAGAGAGAAGGAGAGTGCAGAGCCCAGAGCCAGGCTCAAGTTCACTGGAAGCAGGGCTCAAAGATCACCCAGTGTGGGGCTCAAACTCATAAGTTGTGAGATCATGACCGGAGCCCAAGTGGGACACTTCACCAACTGAGCCACCCAGGAACCGTGATTCAAATATTATTTTATTCCTTTCTTTTATTTTCCTTCTGGTATTTTCATTACCCATATGCTACACCTTTTGTAATTATCCCATAATTTTTGGATATTCTGGTCCATTTTTTCCAGTTTGGATTTTTCTCCTTGAGTTACAGTTTCTCTTGGTGTATCTTCAGACTTAGAGATTATTTCTTGTCTGTGTCTAGTCTGCGAATGAGCCCACCAAAAGTATTCCTCATTTACAGTGTTTCTGAACTCTAGTATTTCTTTTTTCTTCTTTCGGTTTATTTATTTTGGGGGGAGGGGTGCAGAGAGAGAGGGAGGGATAGAGTCCCAAGCAGGCTCTGCACTGTCAGCACAGAGCCCAACACAGGGCTCAGTCTCAAGAACTGTGAGATCATGACCTGAGCCAAAATCAAGAGTCAGATGCTTAACTGACTGAGCCACCCAGGTTCCCCTCTAGTATTTATTTTGGTTCTTTCTAGAGTTTCCATCTCTCTGCTTATATTACTCTCTGTTCTTGTGTGCTGCCTACTTGTTTCATTAAAGCTCTTAGAATATTAATCATAGTTATTTTAAATTCTTTGATTATTCCAGCTTTCCTACCCTATTTGAGTCTGATTCTGTCAAGTCTACTCTTTTCAAACTTTTTTTTTCTTTTTGCCTTTTAGCATGCCTTGTAATTTTTTCTTGTTATCTGGACATGATGTACTATGTAAAAGTGACTGCTGTAAGTGGGCCTTCAATACTATGGTCAGATGTGAGGGAAGGAGAAGTGTTCTGTAGTCATTTGGTGAGCTTGTGTCTCGAGGCTGTGAACTTCATAAATGCCTCTTAGTTTTTCTCCCCATGAGGTGGGGCAGGATTGCTAGAGTGGGCTGGAGTTTAGTATTTCCTTTCTGCTAAGTCTGTTAGACTCTTATAAAACCCCAGTAGGTTAGGCTCTGGTAAGGTAGTTTCTCTTGAGGACAAATCTTCTTAACAAGGACAAAATTGTGTCATATTTCCAAATGGTTACTTTTTTACTCCTCCTACCTGAAGCATGAGGGGGTTTTTCTCAGGTCTTCACTGTGAGAACTATTAGAGCTCCTCAACTAAAACTAGCAAAATTTGAGAACTCCCTTGTGACTGGCCCCGGCCAGCATTTTTAACTCTCAGACTTGTTTACATTGGGCCTTCAGCAATTTTCTGTTCCCTCCCTCCCTCCCTTCCTTCCTTCTCCTCCTCCTCCTCCTCCTCCTTCTTTTTAATATGGCATGATTCACAGATTTGCATGTCATCCTTACGTAGGGGCCATGCTTATCTTTTCTGTAATGTTCCAAGTTTAGTATATGTGCTGCTGAATTAAGCACTCCAGCAATTTTCAGTTATGGTTTAGATTTTCTTACCCTGGTACAATTCCTGCAGAGGTTTCAGCTCATGGGTTTCTGCTGCAGTAAGTTAAAATTCTCTATATTCACCTGTCTGTCTCCAAAGTTTGGGCTTTGCCCTGTGATCTCACTTCTGTTGGATCTAAGAAAGTTGTCAGTTTTTCAGTTCAGCTTTTTACTTTTGTTAGGTTGGAGTGACAACTTCCAACCCTCTTACCTGCCTAACCAGAAATCAGAAGCTCTCTCATGTTGCCTTTTTATAGCAATACCCATTTTCCTTCTGCCCTACTCCTTCTTTAATTCCTCCAACCACTAATGTCTATGTCTATAATTTTGTCATTTCGCAAAGGTTATGAGTGGAATTATATAGTATATAACCCTTTGAGATTGACCTTTTTTTACTTAGCATAATTTGCTGGAGATCTATTTAAGTTATGGCATTTCTTTTTATTGATTCCATGATAGGAGTGTACCACATTTTAACCATTCATTGATTAAAGGAAACTGGTTTTTGACCATTATAAATGCTGTAAACATTTATGTTGAGGTTTTTGTATATAAATAAATTTTTATTCCTCTGGGATAAATGTCCAGGAGTGCAGTTGTTATGTGGTAGCTCCATGTTTAATTTTTTTAATAAACTGCCAAATTTTAAGAGTGATTTTATTATTTTACACTCTTACCAGCAATAGATGAGTGACCTAGTTTCTCCATGTTATCACCAGCATTTAGTGGGTTTTTTTTTTAAGTTTTATTATTTTATTTATTTATTTATTTGGAGAGAGAGAGTGTGTGTGCAAGCAGAGAAGGGGCAGAGAGAGAGGGAGAGAGAAAATCCCAAGTAGCTCTGCAGGAGCAGCGTGGAGATTGACAAGGGGCTTGAATCCACGAACTGTGAGATCATGACCTGATCTGAAACAGAGTTGGAAGCTTCACCCACTGAGCCACCCAGGTACCCCTGTGTTATTACTGCTTTTTATTTTCACCATTGTGGTAGTATTGTTTTTCTCATTGGAGTTCTAATTTGCATCTCTTCATTGGCTAAACTTATCTTTTCATGTGTTTGCTTTCCAAATATATATCCTCTTCAGTCTATTTATTGTCTTTTGCCCATTCTCTAATTGGATTGTCTTCTGTTGTTTTGAGAGCTCTTTACATATTTTAGATACTAGTCCTTTGTTGGATATGTCATTTGGAAGTATTATTTTTCTTTTTTGTAGCTTGTATTTTCATCCTAACGGTGTTTTTTCAGAGCTTTTAAATTTTGATGATTTCCAGTTAATTGGTTTTTCCTTTTGTGGATGTTGCTTTTGGGTCAAGTGTAAGATTGCCGAATCTATATTGTGTTCTCCTGGTTTTTTTCTTAAAATTTTCTACATTTGCATTTTATATTTAAGTGCATGTACAGTTTGAGTTAATTTTGTATGAGGTGTAAGACTTAGATGAGGGTTATTTTTTTGCATGTAAATGTCCAGTTGCTCTAGCACCATTTATTGAAAAGTCTTTCCTTCCTCTGTACCTTTGTCAGTTGGGAATAATTATGTGGGTTTCTTTCTGGATTCTCTGTTATGTTCTATGTATCTGAATGTCTGTTCTTGCCAGTTATATACTGTTGATTCGTATAGCTTTAAAATATGTTTTGAGGGGCGCCTGGGTGGCTCAGTTGGTTAAGCATCCGGCTTCGGCTCAGGTCATGATCTCGCAGTTTGTGGGTTCGAGCCCCGCATCGGGCTCTGTGCTGACAGCTAGCTCAGAGGCTGGAGCCTGTCTTTGGATTCTGTGTCTTGCTCTCTTCTGACCCTCTCCTGCTCAGGCTGTCTCTCTCTCTCTCAAAAATAAATAAAACATTTAAAAAAATTTTAAATATGTTTTGAAATTGAGTAGATTGATTTTCCCCCATTTTTCTGTTTTTTCTTTTTTTGTAATTAAAAAATGTTTTTAATGTTTATTTTTGTGAGAGAGAGAGGCAGAGCACATGAGTGATGGAAGGGCAGAGAGAGAGAGGGAGACACAGAATCAGAAGCAGACTCCAGGCTCCAAGCTGTCAGCACAGAGCCCAACACGGGGCTCAAACTCACAAACTGTGAGATCATGACCTGAGCCAAAGTTGTACACTCAATGTACTGAGCCACCCAGACATTCCCCCATTTTCCTGTTTTTCAGAAATGTTTATAAATAGTTCCTTTGTCTTCCCTTACATATTAATATAATCTTCTTGATCTACAAAATATCTTGCTGAGATTTTGATAGGAATTGGATTAGCCTGTATATAAATTTAAGGAAAATTGACGTCTTTACAGTGTTGAGTCTTCCAGTTCAGGAACACGATATATTTATCCGTTTTGTTTAGAAACTTGAGTTCTTTCATCCATGTTATATGGTTTTAAACATAAAATTTCTCTCCATTATTTGTTAGATTTTCAGCTGCATATTTAATGTTTTTGAATGATTGTAATTGATATTTTTAAAATTTTGGTGTCCATGTTGATATTCTATTGATTCCATACCCTATGACCATGATCTTATTAGTTCCAGGAGTTTTTTTAAAGATTCTTTGGGATTTTCTACATAGTCATGTGTCTGTGAATAAGGAAGTTTTCTTGTTTCTTTTTTGATTGTCTTCAATTTTTGTCTTGCATAAGCTACAGTATCTAGGACTGTGAATATGAATGATAATGGATGTCATTGGCTTGTTCTTGATCTTAGGGGAAAACAGTCCTTTGCTATTAAATATAATATTAGCTGTTGTTTTATAGATGCTATTTATCAAGTTTAGTTCCCTTCTATTACTATTTTCTTGATTTTTTTATAATCATGAATGAGTGTTAAGATGTTTTTAAAATGGATTTTTGCATTTATTGATATGATCATGTGATTTATTTTTTCTTTAAGCTGATAATGTGGTGGGTTACTCATTGGCTTTCAAATACTGTGCTAGCCACATATTCCTAAAATAAACCCCACTTGGCCATGTGGTATAGTCCTTTTTATATTTGCTGAATTCTGTTTCCTGATATTTTGTTAAAGAGCTTCCTATGTATATTCATTAAGGATAGAGGTTTAGAGTTTTTAATTCTTTTATACTGTCTTTGTCTGGTTTTGTATCAAGGTGATACTGTGTTCATAAAATTAATTGGAAAGTGTACCATCCTCTTACTTTTCTGAAAGAAATTAGATAGAATTGGTGTTAATTTTTCTTTAGACATCTGGTAGAATTCTTCTATAAAACTTAGCCTGAAGATGTCTTTTTTTGGGAGATTCAAGCTCCTTAATAGTTATAAGGATATTCTAATAAGTAATTCATATAAGTGATTTGTAGAAGTGTATGCTTTTCAAGGAGTTAAATGAGCCATTTTTCTAAGCTGTTAAATATAATTGTGTAAAGTTTTTCATAATATTCTCTTATTGTCCTTTTGAAATTCTCAGTGTTTGTAGTGATACCCTCTGTTTCATTCCTGGTATTGATATTGTGTCATTGTTTTTGTCTTTCTTGATGGAAATTTGTTAATTTTTTTCCAAAATATCATCTCTTTGTTTCATAGTTTTAATTTTTATCTCTTTATTGTTTCTTCTGTTTGATTTGGATTTATTTTGTTCTCCTTTTTTCTGGTTACTGAGATAAAAACTTAGATTACTGATTTGAGATTTCCTTTTTTTCTAACATAGTGATATTTTTAGTGCTGTTTTTCTTTCAGCACTGCTTTAACTGTATCCCACAATTTTGATTTACTTTTTATTTTCATTTGCTTTCAGTTTAATGTATTTTTTAAATTTCCCTTGAGACATCCTCTTGACCCATGATTTATTTAGAAGTTTGTTATAGATCTTTCTTTTACCTTTGTGTTTTCTCTGGCTTGGTTGTGTTGTTGATATTGTTTGGCTGAGATGTGTAGTCTGCTGTTGTTGTATGGAGTGTTCTATAAATGTGGATTTGATTCTGCTGGTTGATAATATTTTGGAATTAGTTTATATCCTTGTTAATATGTCTAGTTGAATCGAGTGTTCAGAGACATCTTCAGTTATAATTGTGAATTTATATACTTGTCCTATTTGGTTTTATCATTTTTTTTTGCCTTATATTTTGCAACTCTGTTGCTTTGCACATATAAACACATCTTTCTTATCCAGTTATCTGTTGACAGACACTTAGGCTGCTTCCATATCTTGGCTATTGTAAATAATGCTGCACATATCCTTTTGAATTAATGTTTTTGTTTTCTTTGGGTAAATAACTAATAGAATTACTGGATTTTCCATTTTTAATATTTTGAGGAACCTCCCTACTATTTTCCACCATTGCTATACCAGTTTACATTCCCATCCACAGTGTATGAGGGTTCCTTTTTTGTATTCAAAATTTACTGACCATATATTTAAATTAGATTGCATCTGTTATGCCGTTTACAACTCAATCATTGTGCTTTATTGATACCCATAAAACCTCCATGTACCTCTCTAATTTTAATATGTAGAAATTCTAAAGCAAATACTTGTTACCTATATTTAAGTTATTTCATAGTGTGGGTATGTACCCTCATTTGCAGCAGTGTGAAATGGTTTTCCTTTATTTGGTTCTTAATATATACACTGAATATCATAAAAGCTTTTATTATTTGAGAAGTATTTATATGCCAGCATTTCTGTTTTGCCCATTGTCTTGTTTTAGTTTATTCACCATGAGAATTATCCACAATTCTAACCCAGTATTTTATTCTTTTGCAATCGTTAAAGTTCTCAAAATCACTGTGATGGTTATAATCATACTGAGTTATAAAGCAGTAAGGCTCTAGATAATTACTTTATAAGCTAACACTGTAAGATACACCTGATAAGCTATTTATGAGTAATGGTGGAGGAGTGAAGAAACTATAGTTGTCTACCTCTTTGCTCCTTTGATTTCTCTGTGCCAGAAACATATCATATTATGTTCTTAAACATTTTCAAATTCTCATTTCTCCTAATTTTTTTCATAGAAAAGTACC